ATGAGCGACCAGAATGCTCTTCAAAAGTTCTTCTTTTTTGTTCCACATTTGAAAAAAAGTCATATGAGCAAAAACAGAGCCAATGTGAACATATCTGATGTTTAAAATACAAAAATGTTGAGCAAGACTTTAGACCAATGAGATTTCAGTGTGGGTGGAGCTACCCAGCGACTAAAATAGACACCAAGAGCAGATCAAAACATGGTGTCATGATGTGTGACACTGTTAAAGGAAAGAATGTATCCAAACTGAAATAGCCACAAAAACATTTGGTTGTAGTTGGTTAAATAGTAAAAAAAAAAAAAAACTAGTAAGGAAAATGTGGACAGAGACACATCATAACCTTACCATAAAGCTAATTATAGTTGAGAGATTGCCATCACTGATATCATAATGTAACGGTGTAAAATAATAACGCTAATATGTGGATTTGCAAGGCACGGCAGATAAGGTTGTTTCAATTGTTTTGTTTCATTATCTGGCCGGACAAAGAGAGAGAAAGAAGCACCCGTTCGATAATAACTTCCATGAAAAACAGCAGCTCCTTTGAACACAATTCACATTGACTGTGAGACATCCGGCCTGCGACTGACCTTTCCTTTTAGTCTTTATCAGGGAGGCCACAAGGGAAATGACAGCGCTTCAGTATGTCCAGTGCGTTTCTGCACAGCAGTGATTCTATGCAGCACATGCCAAAAATACTAGAAATATCTACAAGAAGAGTTAAATGTATATTTTTTTAATATATTTTTCATGTGACACTGACCTCCTACGACCCTCAATCCCGTTCATTCACAATATAATTTCATATAATGCCTACGAGGATCATTTTACAATTGTAAACATATTGTTAGCATTCATTTGTCAGATCAAAAACACTCTTGAATCTCAACTCTTAGGCCATTATGAAGCTATTCTTCCCCAGTCGCCCTTCAATCGATACACTTGAGCCACAGAGGAGGAATTAGCTCCTAATAAGCTGCAGATATTAAAGATCATTAAGCAATGCTTTCTGTACACTGTCTCTCTATAGATACTAGACTGGCTGCATTGTTGTGCAGCTTGTGCCGAGAGCTGTGGAGAGTACAGACGCTTGTCGTTTCAGGGCAAAGACTCACTTGAGGACGGACTAACTGGAAATGGGCCAATCGATGCAGTTGTGCCTTGAGCTTGCGGATAATCACACGAATACCTCCAGCCCTCCCTTTTCAAAAATATCGCTGCTGTAAACAATGGTGATTTAATGATTTATTTTGTCACACTCATTCCAAGTGGAAATGATAAACATTCGTCTATGAGAACAGAGGCATGACTTTCATAATAAGAGTTGCATGATAAGTCATCTCCTGGTAATAGCGGCAGGGTCTCCCTTTAAAGAGGCAGTGAATGGATATGGGGTGCTGTAATAAAGATGTGAACAGCCCCTGTGAGGGGGAAGAACCTTTCTGCTTGGTACGCTACAAGCTTTTGGTAATTACCAGAGTGCCAGAGAGCATATGAATAAATTCATGAGCTCTGACTCAGGTAATTAACTCATTGTTTAGTAATTAGAGATCAGGAAAAAGAGAAAGAGAATGAAAAAGAGAAAATGAGGAGAACATTTGTAGGAGATGAAAAACAAATCAGGAAGGGTGAGAGGACGAGAAAGGAATTAGGGATGTCAAAAGTGCCAAAGTCAATATTAACATAAAAAATGTTAAAAATATAAAATAAATAAATATAGAAGTGAAATCTAGAAAAACTTGTGAATATATAAAAAAAAACATAAAAAAGAAAACTACTCATTTTAATTGCAGGCCTGCTTGTCAGCCAAACTTGCAGTTAACGTAATATGCACTACCGTTTGGGATCAGTGATTTTTAAAAAAGAAATTAATACTTTTATTCAGCAAGGATGCATTAAATTGATCAAATGTGACAGTAAAGACATTTGTAATGTTCTTTGAAACTTTCTATTCATTACAGACTCTTGGAAGAAAAAATGCATTATGGTTTTACTTTCCACAAAATGATTAAGTCTCACATCTGTTTTCAACATTGATAATAAGAAATGTTTCTTGAGCAACAAATCAGCATACTAGATGAATATTATAATAATTTCTAAAGGATCACATGACACTGAAGATTGAAGCAATGCCTGCCAAAAAATTTAGCTTTGACATCACTAAAATAAATCCAGCTCAAATCAATATTCATCCCCATTTATTTGGTTTGTTCCAGTGTTTAAAACGGGATAATGTAGAGAGATAATTGAGAAGCACTTGCTTTAATTTTATTTGTTAATATTAGTATTAATATTTAATTTATAATACAGTTACTAAGCTATTATCGCTAAATTACCCAACCGTGTGTCCAGCATTCTGACAGTACATTATCCCGTTTTAAACACTGGCACAAACCAAATAAATGGGGATGAAATATTGATTTGAGTAAGAAATGTATTAGTATGTGAGAAAAAAGAGACTGTGGAGTGATACAAGAGACATAAAATGTATACAGTTATGTAGAAAATTGGTTTGGCGGTCATTAATCAAGAAAATTTGACTACAAAAGTTAAATTTTACACAGCCAAGGAAAAATATCTCTATACCCCACTCCGCTCACATACTCGGTGGTACTGATAGCTACATGTTCAATATTTGGACTTGGACTAGTAGTACCAGTACTTTTGACATCCCTATTGGAGACTAATAAAAAAAGGTTGAGAGATGTAAAGGAAAATGATGCTGTAGAACGACACCGAATGAAGGGGAAAAATAGAGACTGAGTGGATTTCCATTTAGACCGACGAGGGGGGGACTAGAGGAGAAAATGGGGGAGTGTGAAAAATGACACCAGAGGCAGAGAGAGATCCCTGTCAGAACTCAAAGCTGAACAGACACTCCTGACGGGTTTATCCACGCACCGCTGGGCCCGACTACAGCTCCACCAGCATCAGTTCCTGTCCCCACAGACACACTACATGGATACACACAGCCAATCCCACTGAAACATCATCTCTCACACCACATATCACATCCACATTCAGCCTATATGTGCACTAACATGCTCTGACAGCCTGGAAGCTTCTTCCTTTCCAAACTCGAGCTGGTAGTCAGGATGGGAAGCAAAACGAGTTTCACAACAGAATCTAAACTATTTCTACTGCCCTGGCGCTGAGAGGAAAGACAACTTGTGAAGGATGAAGATCAAACTTTCGATGAGGAAAAGGTGAAGCACTCATAACGAATGCGACTAATGTGATCCTAACACAAGTTTGTGGAATGACAACATACATACATTTCAATAGTTTGGGGCCATCAAGAGTTTTTTTAGGATGCTTTTAGGATGCATTAAATTGACCAAAAGTAACAATAAAACATTTATAATGTAAAAAAAAAAAGTTATATTAAATAAAAATATTTTTATATTAAATAAATGCTGTTATTTTGAATTTTCTATTCATCAATTTATCCAGAAAAATGTATAGTTTCCACAAAAATATGAAGCAGCACAACTGTTTTCAGCACTGATAATAATAATAAATTTCTTGAGCAGCAAATCAGTATATTAGAATGATTTCTGAAGGATGATGTGACACTGAAGACTGGAGTAATGATGCTGAAAATTCAGCTTTGCCATCAAAGAAATAAATTACATTTTAAATACAATTAAAATAGAAAACAGTTATTTTAAACTGTAAAAAATATTTCACAATATTACTGTTTTTATGATGTTTTTTATCAAATAAGAGCAGCCTTGGTTGGTAAAATATGGTGAAATGTGTTAGAGCTGAAAGTACTACACTATTATCAGTAGAGAAATGCACAAATATATATTTCACAAATTGATTAGTCATTGACTGTCTGAATGACTTGTCCTTTATCGTTAGGGGTCACTAGTCCTGATCACATGCATTTCTTATAGGTCACTCATATAAGACATTGCCTTCCGTTAAAAAAATAGCTAGCACAATACTAATATTGACACATTTTGAAATGTTAAAATGTTTTATCTTTTTCTATGCCAACTTAAAAATAGGGTACTTATACAACAAAATGCTGAAAAACAGTGAAAAGACCGTCCTACTGCATACATATACAAACACCATCACAAAGACCCCCCCAAAAAATGAGCTGAAACCAAGAACATGGAGCCTTCTGATCGACATTTAACAAATAAACAGACTAATTATCTACCTGTAATTGCTCTAAACCATCACAGCTTGCCAGAAAACTTGTTGACCATCCTGCTCATCCCTAATTAATCACAGCTGAAAGTATGATCAAATTAAAGGGATTGTTCACCCAAAAATGAAAATTGTCGTTCTAAAGTTGTATGACTTTATTAAATAGAACACAAAAGAAGACATTTTCAAGAATGTCTCATTGTCATTTTTGTCATGTCAATGGGGTCTAGTGAGAAATATCTTATTTTGTGTTTAACAGAAAAAAGTCTTAAGGGTTTGGAAAACAAGAGGGTGAATAATTTTTTTTCAATTTTTGGGTTAAATATTCCTTTAAGATGGAAACAAACATGGAGGCACAGACAAAAAGACAATAAAACAGAGAGGATTCCAGACAACTATGTGATGACGACAAAGACAACTGGAGGTAGGAACAAATACCAAAACAGTGAGTAGAAAAAGAGGAAGTACAGTGTTGAGTCAGCAAGTGAAAGAGAGATAACAAGTGATCGAAGTATAGTAAGAAAGAAGAAGAGAAACATAGAAACTTAATGCATTTTCACGCAGATGTGTAATGAGGCTGACCTCACGCCACCCGTCTTTACACACAACCGCTACTGAGAAAGGGACAGAAAACATTCCACGTTTTTTTCCAGTTGTCACATCTGTCAGAAAACCCTACAGGCAGAAGACGACACACAAGTCTCTCTTTCATAAGAGGTCTATTACGAGATCTGTTTTGAAGTTGAGGGTAAAAAAGCTTGACCCAATAAAGAATGATTCTTGTGCACAAGCCAATCCAGAAATGTTCAAGTGAAAGTAAACCGCTGTCTTACCCAATAGGATGATACAGGCGGATCTTGACCAGGTAGAAGGTTCCAATGTTCAATCGGAGAGAAGAGTCCAGATGAAACCACTGGGACGGTGATGGATATATCTCTCCTCCTGCTGTCTGAGGGGACAGCTCGTGATTCCCACTCTGTCTGTCCACGTCTGCGTCTGCCTGGCTCCAACAACCCTCACCATTCCCTGCCACATACAAAAACAAAAGAGGTTTACACTTAGGCAATGAGGTCCGAGTGGCTGTGCTAAATTATATTACCCTATATTGCACTGCTAAACCAGAACTAAAACTGCATTTTTTAAACAGAAATTAGTGTTAACTGACTATCTACAGTATCAATTTGAGAAATATATGAATTAGTTAGATTTACCGTATAATAAAATAAATGTGTTCTGAAATCCTCTTATAATCCCACCATTACTCCTCTTGAATATGTAACCAAGGTAACAGGAGACTAGTTGAGAATGTATTTTAAATAGTTTCAGCCGTATGAACCAGCGAGATGCCTTAGGCTAGGGATTTCCTTTACTACCAATCTATTATCATCCATCGAAAAAAAATAAAAAAGATCAATAATTGATCATTCAGTTAATTAGTCAATAAATCAATCAATAAATTGCTAATGTTACCCTTAAACCTATTTTCATAAAATGTTTTATTTTAAACACGTGTGTGACATATACTACGTACACAACCATAGGGTTCACTTATATCTAATATTCTCATATCTAATGTGACAGTAAATAAATTTATAATGTAACAAAAGATTTCTTTTTCAAAAAAAAAATTCTATTCACAGAAGAATCCTGAAATATTCTGTTTTCAACACTGAAAATAATAAATTATTCTGGAGCAGCAAATCAGCATATTACAATTATTTCTAAAGGATCTTGTGATACTGAAGACTGGAGTAATGATGCTGAAAATTCAGCTTTGACATCACAGAAATAAGTTACATTTTTAAATATAATCAAATAGAAAGTTATTTTAAATTGCAATAATATATGTGACATTATTACTGTTTTTACTGTATTTTTGATCAAATAAAGACAATCTTGGTGAACAAAATCCTACTAACCCCAAAATTCTATATGTATATAATCTTTATTAAATTAACATTTCTCTGATTTCAAGCCAATAATAGTCTTTTAGTTTACATTCCTCTATACAAAAGCTTTTTTTCCCCCTTAAATTGTCCGACCTCTTGTCCAGTTTAATGGTTCGTTCCAGGGCTGAGTGCTATGAGGAAAGGCTGTTTAATCAGAATCACTCTCCTGGTCTCTGAAGCTCCTGGGGGAGACCGCATTCACAAAACAAACATTGGACACTATTTATAGATGCCTGTCGACATGGCAACCACTCTTTGTTTGTTTGAATCAGAAACTATTTCTCCTTTTTTCCCCCTCAAATGTTTCGCTTCTTGCTTCAAAGCAGGCACTGGGACTTGAGACACTCTTGTCTCCATTTGCTCTGGTACCTTCAAAACAAGGGCAGGGTGGAGGTAATGCTCTGGCAGGACGATACGAGTGCTTTTGTGCATTTCTGTACGAGCTACTTGTGCTCTTAAATACTGCTGTGTCAAATCTATTCTGAGTAAACCATAAGTTAATATTGTTTAGATGCCATCACCCATGGCAAGAGAAACTGATTTTAACCATAATGTATAAACCATTCAAGACTCGGAGCGACTTCCCACTCCAATAAAAGCATCACAACTTACATAATACTCACTGTATAAGCTCAAACAGCTTACATATTTCAATAATTTGCAATATGCTCCAATTATATTGTTGTATAAATGGCATAATTAGTAGTTAATTCCCTCACTGGTGTAGTTCATGTTTAGAAGTCTTTATTACAGAATGATTTGAAATTCCTATGGAGAAAATGAATGAGATTTACATGATCTGTACTGGAGCCTTGAGTCCACTGAAAGCAACAGTTTTACTTCTACAACACTGAAGAAGGGCTAAATATTTATGCAAATGTTATGAATCAGACATACACACATGCATACCAACAGCTATATATATATATATATATACTGTATATATATATATATATATATATATAGATAAGACAAATATACTCGCATATAAACCATCATATTTCCTTGTCTTAGTCAGCAGCGCTTAATTTTGCTGACTGTTCAAAAACGCAGGAAAGAATATTAAAGGGATCATATGATGCGATTTCAATTTTTCCTTTCT